AAAGTGACAGTAACACTTCATTTCGATAGTTCACTTTCTCCATGTCAGCTAACTCTCATCATCAGTATCAGTAACTGTCTGATTAATATCTGATAACACTTGATTTTGATGAACATTCTACTGACCATAATGTGACTACATGTCAACTTATTCGACTAACCCTAAACCTAACAGTCTAGTAATACTCTAATGAGAGTGAGTTGACATGTAGTTGCACTGGTATTTAGCAGAGTGTCTGAAGTGTGAGCATGTGAACCGTGTGTTTTAGTGTCTGGTGTGTGTGTGACCTGTACGAGGCCGGCGGGTTCGCTCGCGTTCTGCAGCTCATGATGATCTTGTCCTCAGGAGACTCTTCAGGGTAAATGGTGTCGACGGGCTGCTCCTCAAACACGGGCCCAAAACCTGACAACTCGTCTGAGACAGAAAGAGAGAAAAACACACGATTCAATACAGCACAGAGCAGCGTTTACATTAGAAACATAAGAAAACTGAGCTTATACTGATGAACATTAGTTTTTTTCATTGTGACATTTTTCTTTTAATGCCAATGGTCAGAATGGACTGCCTTTACTTTCCTAATGCTGCTCTTATTATGCATAATTCATCTTCATAATGTTTCAGTCTTACTCTCTCTGTCTCCGAAATGAAACTTCTGATGGTATCGATGGATGGACAGTAATATGAACTAATGTTAGCAATCCAATCCACTCTTCATGTTCCAGTCAATTTTGTCAAACTTGTATTAAGTGATTTTTTTATGTTTATAATGATGTAATTTTTCTAATGTATCTGTTCATGTGGACAAAAAAATATATAAAAATGACAAAAAACAACAAAATTACAAAAAATGTAACTAAAATTAAAATGGAAACAACATTATGTATATATATATATATATTACTGTTATTTGGTCCACATGAACAAATACATTCGAAAAATTACATCATTATAAACATAAATAAATCACTTAATACAAATTTGACAAAATTGACTGGAACATGAAGAGTGGATTGGATTGCTAACATTAGTTCATATTACTGTCCATCCATCGATACATCAGAAGTTTAATTTCGGAGACAGGAGAGTAAGACTGAAACATTATGAAGATGAATTATGCATAATAAGAGCAGCATTAGGAAAATAAAGGCATTAGTGCATGCTGGGATATCAGTCATCAGAGATGGACGCGGTGCGATTAAAGCTGATACATAACTCATGAACAGCAGCGCTTCATCACCGAACATCACAGCAAACCTCCTGAAGATCTCAGCACTTTCTCCTACAGACACGGACAGCAGGAGATGCTCCTCCTGAGAAGGAGACCTCAGATCTCAAGATCATAAAGTCTGGACAATGACTAGTGACTCATTTGGGTCTGTTTTTAGTTTTAGGAGAAACATCTGAGCTCTGAATGAGAAACTCTGAGCACTGAATGCTTTACTGGAGTCTCCATGGAGCTCCATCATGATCCGAATGTCTCCTCCTATCAGCTTCAGACTGAGACTGAGATGATCTGAACATCTCAAGCATGTCTCTGAAGGCCATCAGGATGACTGGATGTGATGTCACAGGAAGTACGGGCTCGCATCTGATCACTGTCTGATCCTGCACTCACAGCCAGAGAAAATCCCATCCTCAGTGATGGAGAAACACAAACCCTTCAGAAATACTGCATACATCAGAATTCAGTTGTGTGGAGACTTAGTCCAACATTGCTGTCAACTACACTGAAACAACGACAAACAAACAGATTAATAATTCCACTCTGATGAGGACAAATCAAAATAGTTTAACTGCAATTCATGCAAAACACTATGGAAGTTATAGTTTCCACCACAGAATAAAAAATTAAAAAGTCAAGTTTTATTTTAATTTAATTTTAACCTTTTTTCTTGTAATTCTGAGTTTACATATCACAATTCTTTGTTTGTTTCTGCCATGGAATAAAAAAGTGATTTATCTCACAATTCAGACTTTTTTCCTCAGAATTGCAAAAAAAAAGTGAGATATAAACTCAAAATTGCAAGAAAAAAAACTTTAAAAATTACGTTTAAAAAACATAGCAGAAACCAATAAAATACAGTTTTTTAGTCAGTAAAAAATAACTATGACAAGTACCATATTTTCTTGAAAAAATCTATCATTGTTGAGGGGAAAAAACACAGGTAAGTTGCGTCGGTATATAAGTCATTTTATTATTGCATTCAGAAATAATGTAAAATACGGGTAAATAAAATGAAACTTACTCGGTTACTAACGTAACCTTGGTTCCTTGAGATACGGGAACGAGTACTATGTTGCTAAGACGCTATGGGAAAAAGTAAATTTTCTCCGATGACTGAAGCCTTTTTTAATAATGCGGTGTAACTGCACGGCCATTGGTTCGTGCAGTAAATTAAAAATGAACCAAGGGCTCGGCAGCAGAGCTGCACGAGCCTATGGCAGTGAAGTCCACCAGAGCCCGCCAGAATGGGCGGGGTCATCTGGCTATATAAGCGGGCATTTCGCCATAGGATCCTCAGGTTACTTCGACTGAAGCGACGACACTGAGTCGTGCAGTACTCCTTCCTGTTTCTCAGGGAACCGAGGTTACGTTAGTAACCGAGTATGTTCCCTATCGATACTTCACTCGTACTGCATCGCTAAGACACTATGGGGAACGAGTACAATCCAGCTGTGCAATGCTAGAGGAACGACCAATATTTGAACTCCAATTAAGCACTAAGGGGCTCAGAGGGGCCAAGTATTCAGCAGAGTAAGCCCTGCAGGGGGCAAGAGGGCCAAACTCCTCGAGGTCAGCACAGCCTTGAGTAATCGTTCCAGAGAAGGCTCTGTACAGCCTCTCCACTTAGGAAGGGCCAAGAGCGTACATAATAAGCAAGCCTAAGAACTGGTTCTGCCCTTGGCAGGAGCATGCCCTCTTATGCAGAAAGGACCCGGGCCTGTAAGGCCGGGAAATCCAGATTATAGAACCTGGCAAAGGTGGACGGCAAGGCCCAGCCGGCCACCGCACAGATTTCTGCGATGGACACACCACTAGACCAAGCCCAGGACGAGGCTATGCCTCTAGTGGAGTGGGCTCTTACTCCTATGGGGCATTGCAGGCCCAAAGAGGAGTATGCTAGCGTAATAGCGTCTACTATCCATCTGGATAGTCTCTGCTTCGTGACTGGAAGCCCTTTGGTGCGGCCACTGAAGCCTACAAAGAGTTGTTCCGACTGCCTAAATGGGGCGGAACGCTCAATGTAAAATCTCAGAGCCCTGACAGGACAGAGAAATTTTAACTCTTGGTCATCCTCCGAGGGAGCAAGCGTCGATATAGTTATAACCTGTGCTCTAAATGGAGTGGAGAGCACTTTAGGTATATATCCATGCCTTGGCTTCAGGACGACCTTGGAGTCGCTGGGCCCAAACTCAAGGCAGGCAGGGCTTACAGAGAGCGCCTGCAAGTCTCCCACTTGCTTGAACAATGTTAAAGCTAGCAACAGGGCATTCTTCAGCGACAGCAACCAAAGGTTGGTCGATAGTAGCGGTTCGAAGGGGGGGCTCCTGAGAGGCATCCGAACCCAGATCCCATGAAGAGACAGTAAGGGGGTGAGGTGGATTCAGCCTTCTAGACCATTTCAGAAAGCGAACAACCAGGTTGTTCCTGCCCACCAACTGGCTGGTTATAGGCGCTTGAGAAGCTGCTACGTAGACCTTGAGTGTGGAAGTGGAATATTCCTTTTCCAACAACTCTTGGAGGAAGGACAGTATCACTGATATGTCACAAGAAGTTGGATCTTTGCCGCGGGTGGTGCACCAGGCGGAGAAGACCGACCATTTAAGGGCGTAGAGGCGCCTCGTAGATGGGGCTCTAGCCTGTGAAATAGTGTTCAGTACGCTCTTGGGAAGGTCTGTAGGCTCTCATCGAGAGGCTAAAGATGCAGAGCCCACAGCTCAGGCTCGCCTGAGAGAGGAGGTCCTGTCTCAGGGGAATGGGCCATGGGGCAGCTGTGAGTAGCTGCGACAGCTCAGAAAGCCATATCTGGTTATTCCAGAGTGGGGCTACCAGGAGAACTATGTGTTTGTGTTCCCTGATTCGCCTGATTACCTGAGGGACCAGGGCGATTGGGGGAAAAGCGTATAGGAGGAGGTTGGGCCAGTCGTGGGCCAACACATCCTTGTCTTTCGAAAAATAAGTTGGGCAGTGAAAGTTGTCTTTTGAGGCGAAGAGATCCACTCCTCTGAGGGGACATTGCTCCGAGACAGCATGTCTGCTCCTTGGTTCAGAATGCCCGGAACATGCATTGCTCTCAGTGAACGCAAGTTGAGGTGTGCCCATTTCAAGAGGCGCTCTGCTAGGGAGAAGAGACACCTTGAAGTGAGCCCGCCCTGGCGATTTATGTAGGACACCACTGTCATGCTGTCTGAGCAGACTAGAACATGGTGTACCCTTAGATCTGGTAGGAAGGTTTGAAGGGCTTGACACACTGCCAGCATTTCCAGGCAGTTGATGTGTAACTGGCTTTCCTCCCCTGACCAGGGGCCAAAAGCCGGATTGCCCTCGCACAGAACTCCCCAACCTGTGTTGGAAGCATCTGTCGAGATAACCTTCCTTCAGCAAACCATACCCAGATCTACGCCCCACTTCAGCCACTGGGGGCTTTTCCAAGGTGCCAGAGCTGCCACGCATGCCTGGTCTACCTTGATACGAAGGCGTCCATGACGCCAAGCTAGGGGTGGAACCTTTGGTTTCAGCCAGTACTGTAGCGGCCTCATGCAAAGAAGGCCCAACTGTAGCACCGGAGATGCGGAGGCCATACGGCCCAGCATTTTTTGAAATACTTTGACAACTTTGAAGGAAGCCACGAGCTGCTGTATGGCGCATTCTGGTGCGACCACCGCCCTCATTTGGGCCAAGTCGAAAACCGCTGCCAGGAACAAGATCCATTTGCTGGGGAACAGAGAGCTCTTGGCAAAATTCCCAGGCATTCTAAGTGGCTGAGGAGGAGGGATCTGTGGGATAGTAGCTCGTCCTCCGACTGGGCTAAAACAAGTTCAACAATTCAGAATGCGAATTCCCTTCTGCCTCAGAGGGGAAAGAGCCACATCCATGCACTTCATAAACGTTTGAGGAGCTAGGGACACCCCGAAGGGAAGGACCGTGTATTGATAAGCCTCTCGAATCTCAAGAATCGTCTGTGACGGGGGGCTATCTGGATGTGAAAGTAGGCATCTTTCAGACCAGAGAAAAGAAGCAGTCCCCTGGGCATATTTGCAAGAGGATCTGTTTCAGTGTAGTCATCCTGAACGGCCGTTTCATGAGGGCTCGATTCAGGCGCCTGAGGTCGAGGATGGGCCACAGGCTGCCATCCTTTTTGGGGACCAGGAAGTAATGGCTGTAGAAGCCTGACTCGCTCTGAGCTGGGGGAACCATTTCTATGGGTCCTTTTGCCAGCAAATTCATCACCTCGGAGCGCAGGACGTGTGCGTCCTTGCTCCGCACCAGTGTGGGAACCACGCCGCTGAAACGTGGGGGTCTTCGAGCTCAGAGGGGAAAGAGCCACATCCATGCACTTCGTAAACGTTTGAGGAGCTAGGGACACCCCGAAGGGAAGGATCGTGTATTGATAAGCCTCTCGAATCTCAAGAATCGTCTGTGACGGGGGGCTATCTGGATGTGAAAGTAGGCATCTTTCAGACCAGAGAAAAGAAGCAGTCCCCTGGGCATATTTGCAAGAGGATCTGTTTCAGTGTAGTCATCCTGAACGGCCGTTTCATGAGGGCTCGATTCAGGCGCCTGAGGTCGAGGATGGGCCACAGGCTGCCATCCTTTTTGGGGACCAGGAAGTAATGGCTGTAGAAGCCTGACTCGCTCTGAGCTGGGGGAACCATTTCTATGGGTCCTTTTGCCAGCAAATTCATCACCTCGGAGCGCAGGACGTGTGCGTCCTTGCTCCGCACCAGTGTGGGAACCACGCCGCTGAAACGTGGGGGTCTTCGAGCGAATTGAAGTGAGTAACCTCGTCTTATTATCCCAAAAACCCAGTCTGGCATGCAGGCGGACTGAGTAAGGGGCGCGTCACGATCTTTTGAGCTTGTCGTGGACCTCCGGAAAAAAATGGAGAGGCACGCTGACGAGGGGCTTGAAGGCTCCCCGGCAGGAACCATTCGTCCAGGCAGCTGCAAGTGGGCTCTTCTGGGGAAGACCACTCAAATACCAGCTCTTCGACCGCTTTCAAGAGGACACGGAATAATTCGGTTTCCATCCCGGCTTTAGCGTCGCTGGGTTCGGACGATGGCAAGGGGGCAGTGTCTTTAACTGAGACCAACAGCTCCTCTGCATCCGAGGCTGTCATCGAGCCTTTCATCGTCACTTCCACCGAATGAGTTCAGGTCGCTCGCGCTGAGTGAAGAGGACGGGGGAAGCCTCTCTGTGTGGAGAGAGCGAGGCACGTGGGATCTGAGCCGGCGTGAGCTCGCTCTCCTCCGTGTGCTGAGATCCTCTGCCCCACTGTTTTTTCCTTGCATGTTCCTGGAACGCGAGGGGTGGAGTCGCTCTCTGAAAAGAGAGCTTTCCGCGAGTGCAGAGTGGCGAGACTCTCGCAGTGAGAACAGTTTGGGGAACAGTCAGGGGAAAAACCGTGACCACTGCTGCTGCGACGCTGAAGGCGACGAGAGAAGTGGTGAATCAGCCGAGCAGAGGGGATCGTCGTCGGCTTGTTCCACTGCGAAGGCGTGTTTACAGCGAGCAGGCTTCGAGTCTCGTAGATCAGCGAAGAATGTCGTCATCGCTGAAGCAGAAGAAATCTGAAGATCCTATGGTGAAAATGCCCACTTATATAGCCAGATGACCCCGCCCATTCTGGCGGGCTATACTGCCATAGGCTCATGCAGCTCCGCTGCCGAGCCATTGGTTCGTTTTTAATTTGCACAAACCAATAGCCATGCAGTTACACTGTGTTATTAAAAAAAGGCTTCAGTCATCGGAGAAAAATGACTTTTTCCCATAGTACGAGTACGAGTGAAGTATCGATAGGGAACTAACATTATAACACTATAAACAAGTATTTTAGTTCCTCTCACTGCACGACAAATCAATTCAATGCAACCATATTCAGAACAGAACAGGAATGGAAAACATAAGCATAAAACAAACATGAATTATAGTAGCATTCATTATAAATTATATTTATTATGAACACCAAGCCTTAACGAATTCATTTAAAGTGAAACTGTACATTGCGTACCTTATTCAGCACGAATCTAAACGTGTGTTGATATTCTTGACATTAATTGTAATATATAATATCAGTCGCCGCATATTTCAGATGATAAAAATGACTTGGATTCCTGAAGTTAGAGTAAATGAGTGATGAGGAAACTGGCGGAGGCTGATTGAGTGGAAATGAATGAAACTCAGCTGAATCTGCTGACATCTCATCTGTGTCTGATCAGATATTAATTATTCATGAGCAGTAGCGCTGCTTCACTTCACTTATAATTTGATGTTGTTAACTCATCCACGGCTCTGTTACTGTTTGCTAATGATCATAGAGAACATCCCGAAACCACCCAATCAAACCACAAACACAGTGACGTGAGTTAACTCATCAAAACAAGAAAAATCACATTTGTCTATTTAAAGAAAACCGAAGCATATTTTTATGACCATTTGTAGTTTTTTCATTGTGACATTATTTTTCACATCCCCCAATGCGCATTAATGTGCTGCATTTTAATTTTTTATTAAAATCAGCATAGGTTAAAGGGAATAAATCTAATTATATCATGATGTATGAATACTTGACATGTTAAATAATATATGAGGGGCTTTGCATTACTGAACTCAAAATAAAGGAGATAAGTTAAAATAATACAGAAATTAAAATTCATTTCCTTCAAGCGTATCACTTTTTTCTTATATTATCATTAACTAAAACTAATTAAACCATAAAACTAAAACCACAAAAAGCATTACCTGAAATAAAATAAATATAAACTGAAGCATAAAATATAAATTAAAAAATGTACTTATTTTATTTCAGCTAGTTGCAAAAGCAACATTTCTCATTTTCATTTAGTTTACCTTGATGTACTAAAATAACTAAATAAATTAAAAACTAAAACTATAAAATCTGTATAAACTGTATAAAATGTATAAAAACTATATAGACATATTTCAAACAAAAATTTAACTAGAATAGAATAACTAGAATAGACAAAAATAAAATAAAGAATAGAATAACTAATAATTAAACTAATAAAAATGACAAAAATACAACAAATTGCTAACACTTTAACTAAAATAAACATGTAAACAGAAGATATAAAAATAAAATCAAAATATACATAAAATATTATCATAATGATAGCAAAATAACACTGACTCAGTGAGATTCTGATGAATGCAATAATCAAGCCTGACTAAATATCATCATAATCCATCACAAACGCTGCATTTATGCGGATGTTTCATATTAATGCAGTGCTGGAGTGACCCTGCGACCTACACTTGACCCTTTGACCCAGTTTCCACGGTGACCTGCAGCTCTTTCAGCGTCCAGTCAAACACAGCCTCTCGAGTAAATATTTCACGTGTGTGTGAGCAGAGAATCACTGACCTGTCACACCCTAGCAACCATCGCCGCTTGACATCACCAGACAAGCAAAGTATGTTACCGGGGTAAACGTCACTAAAAATCTGACACCAATAAATAATCCAGTAATCTGAAAACATCACAATATCATCACATATGGAAACAAAATGCAACTTTCACATGAATTACAGACTGGTGCTGGAATCAATAATATTTCTAACAGCAGCTGCTGAATTCAGTTCTGATTTCATGATGATTGTGAGAATGAGCTCATCTGATAGTGAACTCATCTGTTTCCTGAAGTGAGGGGGCGTGGCTGAGGCATTGTGGGTGATTGACGTGCTGCATCTCTGTAAGGTTTGTGAACTGCATGCAGTCACGCAGAGACTAGAACACCAGAGACAGGAACAGATATAGGGCAGTAAACGAGGGACAGACAGGTGAGCACAATGAGGTGATTAACTAATAATTAGACGGGCTAAACCAACACAAGGGGAAGAAACCACAACAAACAGTCAACAGGGGTGTTACAGCATCTCTGTAAGGTTTGTGAACTGCATGCAGTCACGCAGAGATCAAAGTCTCTACAGGAATCAGCAAACGGGCTCCCAAGGCTTTGATGGAGAACGGGTGGGGGCCGTCAGAGACGGTTAATCTTCTGATCTCCCACAATGCCCTGCTCTTCAACCCGTGTCTTTATTAGAGCCCTGAATCACTGTAACGCCTGTGATCTTCACTGAACACTGCAGATTCACACCAAACACACACACTTCACTGGAGGTGATGAACAAATACAGCACTCTAAATCATCAAATACTTCAAACAATTACATTCATTTATGAACGGTGTCATTTTCAGTTATGTATAAAGGTCTCAATTAACTGTTAATTAAATTTAGTGACACTTACTATGCGATGCTTATTATGCTTATGTAAAATAATTCAGACAAATTAAAACGGACAATGCAGAAATTCTGAAAGAATAAAACATTTCATATGTCGCTTTTATTGTAAAACAAAATTAATAAATTATTAGTGTAATAATAGTGTAAGTAATTAGACATACTTTTTAACGAGTATAATTTAATTAAAACATTAAAACGAAATCCAGAAATTTATAAATGGAAAACCCCAAATAAAACTGATTTCACAGGGCCCTAAAAAAATTGAATTGTAGGATTTTAATTAATTAGACATGCCCTTTTGAATTATTACAATTTAAATTAAATCATTAAAAAGGAATCCAGAAAAATTAAAATGGAAGAAAAAAATATCCAGACAATTAAAACTTAAAAAAAAAAAAAGGAATTTGGGAAAAAAATAAAAACGATTCCATAAGGCCCCCATAAAACGGCTTCAGCCTACATGTTTTCAGTTAATACGTAAAATTGTGTATAATTATTATGTAATTGTGTATGAAGACAGTCCTTCAGCAGCTTGTACTGTCGTAATGTTTCAGTGTGTCCTAACCAGGTTTCCATCTAGATGTTTGTCTAAACTTAAAATGTAATGTGGTTTCATATTTTGGGATGATATGAACTGAAATAAACCTCATTAAATCACATTGTAAACCAACAGTTGAGACTGTATCTGTGCTGTACTCACCTCCAAAGACTGCTGGGAAATCAGCACACACTGACCAGACTGAAAGAGAATCACAAAAAACACGTCATCTGTAGATGCTTGATGAGTTTCTGAGTCCTGATTCATTTTAAACCCCAAAACATCCCAGAACGATTGAATGCATCTCTTTATTTCTGCCTGATTGATTTTACGGTACGAGTCGAATGAGAACATCACTGCAAAAACATCAAGTGAGTTTGAGCATCTTTCTGTATGAAGAATGACATGCAGAGATCTTTAAGAGTGACTGAAGTGTTCAGATTAGAGATATTATGCTGGATTATCACAAAAATATTAATATTATCATCATGATACTTTGAAAACATGCATTTACTGAACTTTTACATTTTTTAAAAACATTTAACAATGTTATTAAACATGATTTTGTATTTGGAAATTTGGAAATACTGTGCATTTATTGAACTTTAAAAAAATGAAATAAGACATTATACAAACAAAATACAACAAAATAATTCAACTGAAAAACAATTTATAAAAAAATAAAATAAAAAATATCATTGTAAATCAACGAGAATTATTTAACACGATTATAACACGACTTTGGAAGCGAAAGTATATATTGAACTATATTGAACTTTAAAAAAAACTTTTTTATTTAAACTGAAATAGTAGGAAATCAAATGAAAAACAAATAAAAATAAATGTAACATAAACAAGATAAAGAAGCATTGTAAATCAGAATTTTTAACATAATTATGCACTGACTTTGAAAATACATTTACTGAACTTTTAAAGGGGTGGTTCACTGTTTTTTTTCTAGGCTTGATTGTGTTTATGGGGTGCAGTCTAACGTGTTAATGCTTCGTTTAAAAAAAAAAAACGCAAGTCGTAGTCCCTACCAGCCATTTTTGTAGGCATTAAACTGCCAGTTATCTCCGTTTGCATTGAACTTTCAGCTTTGTAACTTTGCAGATATTGTTTATGC